AATCCTCCAAACTGTTGAGGGTTGTGAACATCAACTGCTTGAGTTGCTAATGAGGGGGAAGGGCTTTCTGACTGCATCACTGCTGTGTGAAGCTGTTTATTGACTAGAGGAGGCAAAGACGGAACTGTTGATGCTGTTGAGTATTAATTCAAATGCTAATTGAATAATAAAATGAATCTTTTGACAAACCTGCAGGGTACACGTATAGTTGATTCTAATATTCAAATATATATCCATCCATGGAAGTCTTTGGAGAGTTGCTCCCTCCACTGCTGCTCGCTTATGGAGCCTTAAGCTAGATAAAAATAGAATTTGCATTCAAGGACAGACACAAAGGTGGAGCAGTGGGAGGCAGATACAGAAGGTGAAAGGAGAAGGAGAAGGTAAACAGGTGAAACATTTCCACTAATGTGGTGCTGACACACTCAAGAACTGAAGAGTGCCGGTGCCAGAAGCCTAGTACCAAAAAAGGGCTTAATGAAAGTCAGAGCCAGGGGAATTTTGGCAAGAAATTGACCAGGTTCTGTCCATGTTTGATTTTTTTCTGAACGTTACCATTTCTGCTAGTGAGAAGGAGTTCCAAGAGCGAATTTGTTTCGTTGAACTTGCATGATGCACAGGCTGATTTATGGTGGTTATAAACGTGATTATTATTAGACAGAGGATTGATTGAATGATCAGTACATCTTGCATCTGGAAAATTCCTGCCAAGACTGATTATTGTCATCGTCATCATCATGGCGCTACATGAGGGAACGAGACCGAGTGCAGTGGATGGGGGGAGACCGATTAAAGAAGAGTTGACAAAAGACAGAAGATCCTAGGAAACAAATCGGGGGACAAAAATGAGACCAAACACCAAAGAAGAAGAAGACATCGTGGAAGCTGCAGCTCTGATGTGTTATCTGATACTCCTCTGCCGATCTCCAAATCTCCGCAATGTGAGGATGTTTTGACTATAACTCTCACCACAAACACACACATACATGCAGACAGATCCGCCCCTGCACAGACTCCACCTGAGATGTGGGTCACGTGTAGGGCGAGCGGGTGTATATAGGTATGCGCCTCCCTTGCTGCGCAAAAAGCATGCATCAAATTAAGTGTGTGTTTGTGGTTTGCACTGCATGACGGGTTCAAAGGAAAACCTCCAGGTATACATCACCAAAAAGCATGCATCAAATTAAGTGTGTGTTTGTGGTTTGCACTGCATGACGGGTTCAAAGGAAAACCTCCAGGTATACATTACCGCTGAACCCCCTCACCTGGCTGAATGGAGATTGATATCTGTGAGGATTAATACACACAGAGTGAGAGAGAGAGCAATAAAAATGACTTATGACGCTCTCTCCTTCAAACTTAATGAGAAACTCTCCGCACATACACCAGTCTGTTTGTTTTAAACCTGAAAACAATGTCAGCTTAAGTTACAGGAACATAGCTGCTTTGTCTTTGATTTTAGGGGGGGTTTTTTTATCCCGCAAGTTTGGAAATTTAGACAAAGACATGCCATAAAAGATCATTTCTTTCAATCTCTTGTGCTAGCAGTGACATCAGGGCAGACTGTCTCCACTAGGGGGACTCAATGAGCGCTTTAATGGAGAAAGGGGAACTTTGATTCCCTAAAGAGTCTTCTTTCACACTAAATTAAAGGAATGCTCCAAAACACACAGCTAATTTACTATTATCTATTGAGACATTAATGACCATTTGTGAAAGTTCAGTGACTTTTTTGTGTATCATTACGCTTAAATGTCAAAAAACCGTTAATATAGCAAGTAACTATCTTAATTAAAATTATACGTTTTTTAGTTCATTTTCTCTTTTTTCCACCCTTTTAACAGTTTACTTCAAGGTCCTTGATAAACTTTCATGGCCTTGGTGAAATATTGCAGTAAACTTAATATCTGTCATACCGAGACAACTTCCAAGCAAAGCAGGGAAGAGGTCAAACCATAGTTTTGACATATTACAGCTGAAGGAGAGGAAAGAGCTTCTATCTGTTGATTTATTCTTCCTCTCTAATCACTTTATAAACTCTGAGCAGACAACTCTCAACTCTCAAATGCTGATTTTTTAGTTTTAGACCTGATCCTGTGCTGTTTTTGTTATTTCACAGGATGCTCATACTCTGTTCAGTGTTCCAGTTGCCATCAAAACACTGAATCTAATCCATAAAATCTTCAAACACACAAATGTCTCCTGCATAAAACCCCACTCATACCACGCATAGCTTAGAGGACTTACAGAACGGCAAACAGACCTGATTGGCAGACCTGATTGGACACGCCTGGTGTGTGGTGGGCGTGCAGCCACGACTCATTAATAATTAATGACGAGGGAATATTCATGGAATATTATATGAGGAGCCTGAGTGAGAGACACTTGCACTGATTTGGTGATGCATCGGCATCCCGACATGTTAGAGATCTACAGCTGAGGATGAGGAGGCACTAGTTTAAACAGATGTGGAGGGCGAAGAGAGGAAAAGTGCGAGCGCGCTCATACACTTCCCCACCTATGTTGCTGTTTCTGAATCATCTCTCAAATGCAAACTAATCAGCTGCACTAAATATGGGTTTCATTTCTCTACACTTCAGTGTGAGTCTGAAAGCAGCTGCTGTCAACTGCACACCTGCACACACCTGGAGAGAAAAACGCACAGTTCCCTCTTTCAGGACACCAAAACAAAATTACGCACAAAAGACTGAACAGCAGCCCCGCTGTTCGAGGTTCAATCCGAACACAAGCGGGCTCTTAAGGGAAGCATCGGCGCGCCGCTTTCCCTCCACACGCCGAGTTTAGAATCCGTCCGAGTTCTTGACGCGATAATAGGAACAAAATACAGACACAGGGCGGAAAAAAAAAAATAACCGCAGGTACGCTAAACGCGAAGATGCGCACGAAGGGGGCAGGACAGAAACTTCGTCCGATCTCCCACCAAGAAAATCTGCAGGTCCTGCGAAGGTGATCCTAGCAGTCAAAAAGCCATGAAAGCTGAGCGCAGAGGTGTATCATTGGTGTAATTACATGGTTTTTATTTGCAAGTAAAACGGAAACGGCAACCGGGATCATTATTATTAGAGCAGAAGCACTTGTTATAAAGCAGACTCTCTATTTTAGAAACTTTACTCGCTCGCTGAGGGAGCCGGTGGGTCTCTGCAGGTTCTCCTGCAGCGGGGGAAAAAATCAGTGCAAGGAACTGGAAGCGTACTTACCGCAGAGTCGGATCGCTGCACCCCGGCGAACAGGACTAGTAGCAGAGTCGCACCGAGCTGTCGCAGGCACTTTGAGTCTTTACTCATCTTTTGGGGGGAATAAAACAAAGATCCGCCTGCGTTAGCACTGTACTTTGGGGCTCTTTATACGCGTGTCATAGCCCTGCTCCCCCCACGCACACTGTGGAAAAGAAATAAAGAAACTCGTTCTTCTTCTCGGCGTGTCGGCGGTTGTTGCGCTTGCAGAGACTCCCAGTGGTCCTGGCTCTGGCACCGTGCGTCTCTGCAGTTCCCTCTCTCTCACTTTTTCTGAACTCGTAAACCTGCCCACCGGATCTACTTTCCACAAGCGGTGCGCAGTGATATCAGGGATGTGCACCTTTCCCAAGACAGATAATTAATTAAAAATAAATTTTGGGGTGATTTGCGAAACAAGATCTGGTCGTAAGTGTGAGCCACGAAGGTCCAAATGCCCAAAAGTGTGTCGCGTGTTAAAGTATGCTGTAAATAATCATTATGTTTGAACCTCGCGGATGGATATTCTTTCTCCTGACTCCAGACCACCGCTCGAGGCTGTGAGTTTGACTTTAAACCTTTTCTTTTCTTTTCCTTAGGCCCCGGCACGTTACATTCCTGCCACTTTATTACAGGTCACTTTCTCCCAACGAAGGAAAGCTGCTAGTAGAATAGTACAGAATAAAACCTCCGTCCTATAAAAACGTACCTGTTGTCTCGTTTCACACGCGCCTTCCTCTAAATGTGGTGTGAAGCATATAGACTGTTGCATGAACTTATATGAACACATGCTGCTGAAGTTACTGTGTGATCAAACTGTATGTGCACACACTGGGACTGATAAGCACACATAATCACAGTAAGCAATCATCTCAGCATCCAACCTTTGCAATATTACACTATCTATGTTACAATCACTGGAGTGAAAGAAACCAGAATCAAGACCTGCAGTGGAATAATTTAAAGGTGCACTTTTTGGGAGGATTTTATTGTGAATTTTTAAAGCATCACAGTTGAAGTGATTCTTGCATTTTTGTATTATTTAAAAGTCATCTAATCACAAGTTGGACTTAACATTTTCTCATCTTAAAATATGAAATACGTTGTGTAACTTTCTAAAAACTTTGAAAGCTCTACTGGGTTTATGGTTAGGATTGAAATTGGGACTGTAGAAAATAAACATATGAATAAAAACTATATAGCAAGTCCAAAACTGAAGAGGACCTAGTTAGGATCCCTGTGGTGCTCCGCAGCTAAACAAGCTGCAGAAAAGTCTATGCCAGAAACACAAGACACAAAAATTTAAGATAATGCACTGTAATAAAGGATTTTATAGCCCCTCTAGGGAGAACACGGTGTTGCAAAGCTTAAAGAGTACTCTGCTTAATTCAAGAAGTTTTATGCATTAGCAGAGATCAGGGCAAAGTACACGTGATCCCTAACACTGATCTGCGGTTAAAGTTTTTAAATGTATCATAAGGAGGGTGTTTGGGTCAATGGTATGAAAACACAGTTATGAATTTTAAGATCCATCATGTTGATTCTTTGGGGACTAATTTTGCATAAAGTGTCCTAAGGTCATTTTAAACTTCAGTAACCACCTGAGCGCTAACAACGGTGGGGTTTTGTTTTTATGTGGAATAAAAGTCTTTGTAGTCTCTGAAAGAACTTCTGTATGTTGTTGCTTTTTCACTGATTAAAACCTGGACTGCAGACTTGCTTTACACCGCTGTGCCTCCTTTGCTGGTCCGAACCGTACTTGGTATGTGGGGGTACCTCGGTGGCAGTCAGAGGCATGGAGGCATGTGCTGGCCCCTCCTCTTCGCTGAGGCTGCTGAGTTGAAGCGCACCAGTACGAAGTGCGCAGCAGCGACTGCACCGCTGAAACTTGGGTGAGTTGGACAAGCTCTGATTTTTATGAAAGAAATCGCCAACAAAACGTGTGATTTCAACGCTGGCTGGCTGTTAATGCTTGGAGCTTTATGTGTTAAAATCGGGGTCAGTGGGACTGCTTCTCTCCCTCTCTCTCTGTCTCCGGTAGATGACAGGGGTTTTTTGAAGCCGTCGATGAGCGCGTTTGAAGCGGTGCCTTTCTGGTGAAGATAAGGGGATCGAGCTCTACCTGTGGTCCCCGCCTTCCGCCAGTCGGATCAATATGAAAGTCCTGTATGGGTTTATTTTTTGATTTCTTTTTAAAACGGCTCTGTAAACGTATTTCTGCAAAGTTAATTTTCGGCTTTGCAGGCTGCCTCTGCCGCTGCTGTACCTGTCGACTAATAAGTTCGGAGGGAAATAACTAAAAGACTTATTTTTGTTTTGCAGGATTTGTGTGATCGCGTTGACCTTCGCAGCGAGGTCTGCACTCGGAGTAAGTCCCTTTCGTTTACTGTGACACTTCCTCAGGTGGAGAGGATCCCCGCTTGGTTTATTTAGCGCAGATGAAACTCTTAAACACCCGATTTAGATGGAGCTGTGTTTCGTGAAAGAGCAGCTGAGCTGTGACCAAAATGGGGTTCTTGGTGTCTCGTTAAAAACAAGTGCGATAGCTGCTTGACTTACAGTGTTACAAAGTTACTGTCATACATCGCCGACACGCAGGTCATCCATGCTGTGCATGGCCTCTGCCTGAGGCATATGGTGATACTTTTATACATTTCTATTATATTTTCTCTAAAAAACTGTATTTATTAAATAGAATCAGTCTTTCAGTGCTATTTGTTATTGTCATTTAAAGTAAATAACATTTGCAGACGAGCTTGTTGCACCGTTTGTGCCAGACACTGCACGGTATGTGGGTCCCTTTTTTAAGCTTTGAGCTGGAGTCCACATTTTTGCATCGAAAAAAAAACCCAGTTCATATTTGAGTGGGCACGCTCGCAGTTATTTGCAATTCAAAGCCCGCCCCGCTGATGAATATTAAGAATTAGGAGGATATCAGCCCTGCGTGCCTTTCCAAGCCACACCTTTCTGCTCAGTTGATGAGGTTCTGCAGAGGGGATTGAAAATAGTGGAGGGCTTTGGTACTTCAGGCCCACTTTGTTTCTTTTTATTAATCATTTCAGTTGCACTTTATAATAAGGTTCGCAAAATAGGGTGCAATTCCTCTAGAGGAGAATGGAAAATTATATTCAAGATTCAAAGATTCAAAGTGTTTATTGTCATGTGTCACAAGAGAAAAGGCATTTCTTTGTGCAATGAAATTCTTTCTTTGCTGTCCACCCACAGATGCCGATTAATATATACAATAGAAATAGAACATATAAATACAAATAGTACAAATAAATAGCTGAAGGCTGCAAGCATGACGATTAACATGCGTGTGTGTGTGTGTGTGTGTGGGGGGGGGGGGGGATTTTCTAATCTTTTAACCTTGCCTTTTTACATGTACTTATGCATTATATTTCTGTGCATCATTAATGCTTTACTATTCAGTTGTCCTCTTATATTAAATATAAAAATGTGATGAGGACAGCTCTCTCTCTCTTCTGCTTACAAGAAAAATTAAACAGCAAGCAAAAACTGCAGGCTTTGGGCCCAAGTGATCTTATAACACATCGTTCCACGCCCTGTCAAACATCCATGATGCACACCTATTTAATGCATAATAAAAGTGTAAAAAGAAACCCAAGGTTAATCCACTACATGGTATGGCCCGCACCCCTAAAACTACAGCATACCTACAACGTACGATGTAAAGGTTTTTCTGTTACTCTACTAAGTTATGCACTATTTAAAATTTGATTTGTATCTCCTGTAAAATACCTAAAGTTACAAACTTCTTGAAAATACTTCTAGTATAATTATTTTTCCTAAAGTGTTCAGTATTGTGCAGTATTTGTTAGGACTGCATCTCTACTGCGTTCGTTTACTGTTTTAAAATTAGATTATGGTGTGCACTTATCTATACAGTGATGTTTATCTGGTGTGTGGTGGAAATGTTGTGGGGGCTAAAAGTTCAAAGACAGGTGAAGAGCTTATAGACGTCAAAATAGCTGTTTCGTTGTTGTCCTCTTGCTACAGAAAGGAACACATACTGTAACAAACAGGATTAACAGCAAAATAAAACAACACAATGCTGCTTTAAATATCAAGATATATAAACATTTAACAATCAGTGTATCTCTATGATTTATCAGCAGTTTTACAGATGTGTTTTGCATTTTTGTAACACATGAAGTGATATCAACACAGATAAAAACCATAATAACCTTCCAGTTGCATCATATTGCTTAAACAACTAGATATTAAACATTTAGAACTTCTTATAAATGAAGGAAATGTGGGAAGAAATGGTATCCTTCATAAGGTGAGATAATTTTCTTATCTCACAGCTGCATAAACCTGTTAAAAACCAGTTGGAAATCCTTAGAAATTCGTTGGTCTAAAGCTGGATACAGGGCTGTATGTCCTACAGGAGTAAATGAGAAGTTGGGGTCTTGCATTCCTTAATTCCATCTTCTTGACATTGGTGGAAAAGCAAACAATCAAATGAACAGAAGTGGAAATGATAGTTTACTCAGGTTCACACCAGTCATCTGTAAAGAAGCTGATTAAGCTGTGAATGAAAGGAGCGCCGAAACCATTACAATAAAAATTAGAATAAGAAAGAGCAGCGGCGCTGTTTGATGATGTCAGAGGTCAAAATTGGTCTTTTGAAAATACAGCACATAGTCTCCACAACTGACAAAATATCAGATCATTGTGTAGATATCGCTGGGCAGGAGCATTTAAAATGTGTTTGACTTTGTCATGCTGGAGAGGATCAGGCTGGCCTCTAAAGGTTTGCTCACTGTCTTTAAGGACGAAGGAAAAAAGTAAAAAAGTAAAAAAGTGCTATAACGCAGTAATTACATGCAGTTTGATCTTGAGCTCTCCCAGCTGAGGGAGTTGCAGGAAATGCCGCTCAGGTTGTGCTTCAGCAAAGACCGACTGACATTAAAGTGATTCAGCGGCAGAAAGCCTTCTGTATCCCAACAGGAATCAGCTGATGGAGCTGCACTGACTTTGAATTGACTCCTCCACCCACTTCCCGCCTCCCTGTTGTTTTGTGTTGTGTATGTGTGTGTGTGTGAGTTGGTGACTGAGTGAATGACAGATGACTTCATTGGGTGGTCTTGCCTTTCATAACCATGGTAGCTAAGTCTTTGGGTACCGCTGTGGTAGCTAAAGTTTGTTTTGGGATGAATTAAAATATGAAGTTCATTCCTGTCTCTGCACCACTGAGTGCAGGAAGGTGTTTGTCAGGTGATGTCAGTGTCATCAGATAAAAGCAAACACTTGTTTATCTCTCAATGGCACAGAGCGAGAAGATAGCCCAAGTTTAGGGTGAATGCATTACTTGCAGAAGCCCAACTCTTAGTTATTTGGAATCTTATCTGGGCATATGTAGTACTAGTATAAGTTAGCATGTTGTAGTTGTATAATATAGTAGCAGTGGGCATTCTGAAAGGAAAAATAACAAGTGCAAAGGATTTGATGCAACACAAGATTCGCATCAAGGTAGAATACAAACAAGGCTACAGCTTCTGTGTGATCCTACTCACCATATAGTGAGTTGGCCATTTTGAAGTGCTGTCCAAACTTTTAGCAAGTGTTGCTTTAACCTATAGTGCACTTAAAGGTGTCGTTAACTTGGTATAGTATTTATGACAAAAGTTCATGTCGGGATTAATTTACTTATCTGACTTATCACTGTGTGTCTGCAATGATAAAACCAACAGTGCCAAGAAAATGAATCCTGTCTGAAATTTTAAATATTTTGCAAATGAAGTCATGAGTGAATTATTTCAGGCACGGCCGATGTTAACCATAATTATGCTTTAGCCACCTAAAGTTAAAGTTAAGGGGGATTTTAGCTGTTGTCACACATTCTGACATGTTTTTGAGGCACACTCAGCTCGAGGCTTCAAAAGGACACTTCACTAGCCAATGGGTGATTGGTCACGGTGTCTACACCTGTCCGTTATGCTGTCAGTCAAAAGAAGTACGTCTGGTAGCAGCTTGAGTTGTAACATTGGTTTTGGTTTGCTAGCTTATGTAGTTTAAGTAGACTGGTTGGTGTATTTATAAATTATTTTACCACTTAGTGAACACATAGAGAGAGAAGGACCTTCTGTTGGAGCTTCTGCATGGTTTCTGGTTTGTAAGAACTGACGCTACTGTTGGCACAAGGGAAACATCCCACAGGAGTGAGGAAGAATGGTGAGGAGAGGGGAGGCGTTATGATGGGACTGAAAGCAGGGAGTCCAGAAAAACTAGAGCAAGTGATTTGGAAATCATCGAGAAATCAACTCTTTAGATTTGTTTTGACCCAGCTGAGCACATTTGTATGGACCACTGAGTCTCAGCCTGCTGACAGATGAGATGATGAAACTCTTAGGTGTTGTTAAATTTACAATTTAATGTATTTATTCTGGCATAAAGAACATTTTTGACTTTGGTGATCTGAGTCATGCTTGAAAGAAAACGTTTTACTTACTGAAGAATTCTGAGTAAAAGCATTTTTGGGTCGTGAAGTTTTTTTTTCTGAATTTTGAGAAAAGTCAGAAGTCTGACTCCTCATTGTTCTTACTGTCCTCCAGAATTTTTATTTAAATTTCAGAATTCTGGACGAAAACTTGAAAATTACAGTGTTTTCTCTCAGAATTACGACTTTTGTTTCTAAATTTTTAACTTAAATCATATTCCGATTCAAACTCAGAATTCAGATTTTTTTTTCTCCGAAAAAAGCTCATCATTCTCAAACAAAAACCCAACGCTGACACCCACACATGAAAAATAAAACAACGTTTTTGTCATTTGGTCGAATCCAGTTCCATATGTTCCAATTTATAATGTCGATAAATTAGGATTTGTTAATAACTTTTGTGAGTTCTGGTTGCAGTTGCAGAAGTATAAGGTTTGTGCTCATGAAATGATCTGGAATAACAGGAAAATTCACTGACTTCTGTCAAATAAACCCAAAGAATCTTTACCTGTATTGCCACTCAACCACTCACTCTTACATCTACGAGTACTCAGTGTCGCCGTATTATTTAGTCTAATCAGATAGTTTGCCCTATTTTATCAGATATTTACTTTCCATATTTCATAATTAATTTTAATCTGATTACCAGCTGATGCAGAAAATAGCCACCTCCTCTACCCTCCCTCCCTCCCCCCTTGAATTCCTGCAGTGTTTGGCAGGACTTGTTTCCCGCTCCCTGCAGGTGCTATAGACTGGAACATTCCAGAGACGCTGAGTGAAGGGACCAATCACTGCTTGATTTGTGGGTTCTAGACCCTACACAACACAACAGTCCTCCCCCCCACCTCCTTCTTTCTTGCCCTCCTCCTCGCCTTTCTTCACCCAATCATTACCCCCCTCCA